TACCTTACTTGTTTTCCTTTGTGGTACCTGTATTACACTGAGCACTCGTTTACTTTGTTCTCTTTAGCCTGTTTCCCGTTCTACAGTAGAAAGTAGGGAAGCCTTCGTCTTGAGTTTCCCTCTGGATCCCTAGCACTGAGCACCATGTCTGATCCATGTTGGGTGGCCAGTGAATATTTGTAGAGTGAGGGAATGGTTTCACCACAGGTGATCTTACTCCTTTGTTAATTCATTCAGTAGACAGCGCATGGTCTACCCTGAGCCAGGTGCTACACTGAGATCTAGGAATACAGACATAAACCTCAGTCTTTTACAAACTTCCCTCAGATTAGCAAGGATCCTTTTTATATGCGTTGTTCTTCATGATCCTTCATGATAACTTTTCTAGGCAGGTGACATCAGCCCATTGGACAGGTGCGGAAACTGGGTGAATGCCAAGAGTAAAACTGATGCCCAATGCATCCAGCCACATGGGCAGAGCTGGGATTCAGGCCTGCATCTGTGTGTGACCCAGGTGCATGTTTTCTCTTCTTTTGGCCCCAACTCCTAGGGCAGCGTGGTTACTGGAATTCCTGGCTGGCAGGGTCTGTCCAAATGGCATGGGTAGGAAGTGGCTACAGAATGTGTCTAACTTGTGCTTTGGAGCAAAAGATGCATCTGATCTCTTCATCAACCAGCGTATGGCACAGGCCAAAGAAAACTTTATTCACTCTCTTCTGAACCACTTGAAGTTTGACTCGTCCTCTTTGGAGTTGGTCTTCCTGTGGAGAAATAAATACACTTATATGAAAGAAGCTATAAATGTATGTTGGCTGTTGAGCAAGGCTGTTGAACAAGGAGCTCAAATGCAGGTGCTTGGGTGGATGGATGCCCAGGGAAAAAGACGAGACACAGGTCAGGGAAATAATGGGCTTTGGGCCTCAGGCTTATGGGACATTGGTCCCTTGAGGCTCTGTGATCTCCTCTATTCACCCAAATAGTACACCTACCTCTCTGCCCCACATGGGCCCTGCAGAGCAACAAGCCTAGGGCATGGGGAGAAGGGGTAGAGGCAGTGGAAGACCCCCACCAAGTGGGGCAAGCCTGGGTCAGGCTGTGAATGTGAAAAGGTGGGTGTGGACTTGGGCTGCAAAGGGCCTGGGGTGCTGGTCTACAGTGTTAGGATTTTGGAGTGTGGGTAGGAGCTTAGCTGGTGAGGATTGGCTCAATGGACAGAGGGAGCACAGGGTTCTATTTAAGACAGGTGAGCAGCCAGCTGGAGATGGCTAGAAGGTGTTTGCAGTGTGAGTCCAAAGTGCAGGAGAAAGCAGGGGTTATATTTGGTCGTCCTGGAGTGGCTGAGATCACCTAGACTGAGAATGTGAAGCCTTTTGAAGGCATCAGGGGTGGGTGGTTGGGGATGGGTGGGGCTGGGCTCTATAGGATAAAGCTGCTGCCTGGGGACTAGACTTTGTTTATAAAGGTTGATAGAGAAGGGAGGCAAGGGCAGGGCTGCGACTTGGGCACAGCTGCATCTGCTGTGAAAGGGTTGTGAAGGTGGTCCCAGTGTCAAGAGAGCAAGCTGTGGTAACAGGTTACAGAGCTCGTGGCACCAGGGCTCAGCAGCAGCTCAGCAGAGATTGACTTTCCTCCCCTCCCCACGCCCACCGACCTGTGCTCCTCTAGCCCGCAAAGTCCCCACCAGTCCCATGGTGTTAAGGGTGGAAAATTTTCAAGTGAGCCAACTAGCTAAGTCAGCTACAGGGAAGAAATATCTTTAGATACCAGAAGTTGTCCTACTTGCTTGTGTGTGGTTTAGGAAGTGTATTGTATAAGATATGAAGATGGCCAATGTCTGTTTCTGTAATCCGTTTACTTGTTAATTAAGGGTGTTGTTCCAGGCAAAGGTATGCTAACAGCCAACTTCCACTTCTGTAATCTGCTTGCTTGTTCCAGAGACCACCAGGATATGGTCTTAAGCTTTATCAGCTGCCTCCTCTGAAAGCTTGGGGCTGATCTCCTCTAGTCCTGCGTGGTAGAAAGTCAGTCGCCGCCGGCTAATAAAGGCTCATAATTAATCTCATTTGGCTCCATGGGTCTCAGAATCGTTCGGGCCTTAACAATGGGAATACCTGGAATCCCAGAGGACCCTGCCCTCATGGTGCCCACAGTCCAGTTAAGTAGATAGCACTCCCATTCCCTCACAGAGGGAGACCTTGAGATGTGGAGAAGAGGTTGGGAAAGCATGAGGTGCACGCAGAGATGAAGGGGTGGGCTGTGACAAGCACATGTGGCCACTGTACACATGGTGGGCTTGAGCAGACCATGTGTGTTGGAGTTGGCTGTTGTGCCTGTCCATAATTTGTGGCCATTCTGAATGGGGGCAGGGCTGTGGGGACCATGAGGGACCATAGGGATAGGTGAGATGGAGATGGCCGTAGGAGCTACTGGGCTAGAAACTACCTGAGAGATTACTCCTGGAAGGGACCTGTATCGTGGGCAGAAACCCAGGAGGCTTCTGGCCACACCTCCTAGGCTGTATGCTGTGTTCAGGTAAGCAGCAGCCTGCTGCCGTGGCTGTGAGTAGGCATATGCCGGTGTGTGGAGGCAGCTGCGAGAGGGTTTAGGGCACATGGGTAGAGCAGGAAGTGCTCTCTCCTGTCAGTGATATGCTGTCCTCATGTCCCCTCAAAAGGTATGACCCGCGGCACAACCGCTGGTTTCAGATCCAGTCCCTGCAGCAGGAGCACGCCGACCTGTGTGTGTGTGTCGTGGGCGGGTACATCTACGCGGTGGCGGGCCGTGACTACCACAATGACCTGAATGCTGTGGAGCGCTACGACCCCGCCACCAACTCTTGGGCCTACGTGGCCCCACTCAAGAGGGAGGTAAGGAAGCCCTTCCAAGAAGGGCCTTCTCCCACCTACTTTCCTTCCCTGGGATGTGCAGATTGAGCAGAGGGCCGGGCCAGGGAATCAGGCCCAGTGAGCAGAGTCTATGTCCCTCCGGGGATCCCTGAGGTTCTGCCATCTGCCTGGGGGAGAGGCTCATAAAGCATCCAGACCCCATTCCCAGAATTTCACCGCCCTGTTGGTCTTTTCAACGTGGCCCCGGGAAGCTGCTTTAACCCTGAAATTTAAATGTAGACAGAAACCTTCTCATCAGCTCCTTAGCACAACTGAGTTGAGCTAGGATGTTTCCAAAGATGTTAAACAGGAGAGATGAGGTTTCAGAAGCCTCAGACTTCTCTCCTGCCTGGAGGGCAGGGCCTTTAAAACACTTTGGAATATGTGTTTTTCATGTTTTTTTTTTTTAAATGTCTCCTGCACAGTACTTTGGTTTGTTTCAATTTGAAGATGTTTAAAATTATGTTCATTGTGCAAAAGCGATGCTTTAGAGAGATGCTTCCTTTTTGTCCTCCAGTTTTGGGGTAGTTGGACCCTGGCCACATCAGACATGAGATCCCAGGGCAAGGAAGAAGCCTTGCTGATGTCCCCCACATTTCAGGTCCCAGCCTCTGAGAGCAGGGTTTGCACCCTGCTAGTACTGGCATCGTCATTTTCAGGGCACCCATTCTACACCTTTGGAGATCCCTGAGCACCCCAGAGACGGTGTGGCACAGGGGATATGTATGGGGCTCTGCTCTACTAGATCTAGGACCTTGGCAGGAACTCCTGCCTTTCTGAACCTCTTTCCACACCTCGCCTCTTTATCTCTCACCCTTTCCCGGTCCCCCAGGGCCTTAGACTTTGACTTCAAGGGCCCGGGCCTCCTCGATGGGTCGAGCTACTCTCCAAGGCCAGGGTCTCCCACCATAGTTCCTCCCAGGTAGAAAAAGCTGGCCTGCTCCTTGCTCCTCATCTTCTGTGGGGGAAGGAGGCCCCTTCGGAGGGATACTCCCTACCCCGCATCCTGGAGTAAGGAGTAGGTTTTGCATAGGAAAGATCAGGGGCCCTTGAGACCTAGTGGGTGAGGATGAACTGAATTCCTGTTCTGTTAGAGTGTGAGGTGTGAGTGGAAGTGAGAGGGTCTTCTGGCAGGTGCGTGCGGAGGGTTCTTTGACTAGGGAGCCGCAGTTCCCCAGTGTGGCCACAGAGGGGCAGCCTTAGCTTTCAACCAGCTTCTCCCTAACTGCCAATTTTCCTTTCTTAATAGATTCATTTATTCAGCAAGTATTAAAGTACCTACCCTATAGCAAGATCTGGGGGTGCAGTGGTACAAGAAATGTTCTCCCATGATATTTACAGCCTAGTAAGAGACCATTAAACCACTAAACAAATCAATAAAATAATGGCCAATCGTGATAAATGCAATGAAAGAAATTAAGAGGGAGTTGAGCTAAACAGTGCCCAGGGAGGGGGCTGTGGCAGGATGAATTTAGATACACTGTTTGAGGAAGGCCCATCTGAGGAGATGTCAGACCAAGGCCTAAGAGAAGACATGCATGCAGCTATTTCGAGAGAGAGAAAAGACCTTCTAGGCCAGGATGGCACATCACAGTTTATTCTGAGAAAGGGGAAGAATGAAGAGTACTTGTGAAAAGAAGAAGGTTTAGAGGAGCAGAAGCAAGGACAATGGTTCCTGGGCCGTTGTGTGGTTCAGGGAGAGGCATGATGGCTCATGCTAGGGTAGAAGGTTGTTGGAGAAGGGAAGAGACGGACGGATTCAAGGTATAGTTTGTAGGTAAACTGACCAGCTTGTTGAAAACTAATAAGCAACACACTTCTGAATCACCAGGTCAAAATCTGTGGCCTCTAGCTAAGGTGGTGCTGCCAGGAAACTTTGTAGCATACATTAGGGGGAAAAAAATCTCAAGTCAGTAATCTAAGCTCCTACCTCAAGAACCTAGAAACAGAGCAAAATAGGCCCAAATTAAGTAAAAGAAAAGAAAGAATAAAGAGCAGAAATCAGTGTAATTAAAAGCAGATAAACAATAGAGAAAATCATCAAAGAACTGGTTCTTTCACAAGATTAGTAAAATTAACAAACGCCTAGTAAGACTGACCAAAAAAAAGGAGACACAATTTAAAATATCGAATGTGAAATTGG